GTATCTCGCTAACCGTTCTAGCAATTTGTACCAAACTCGGTATGGTTATTGTGCTTGCCACATAAAAGCAAAACTTTGAAAATTATTGAAATCGGACTAAAATTACGGCCGCTTTTCATATAACGGTAAATTTCAAAAATGCTTGAAACTGCAATATTTTGAAATTTAACGACGCTAATTTACTCAAAATTGATACACCCCGGCTTACCATCTAGGGGTAGGTTTCGGAAAGGTGAAAATCATATATTTAATACTTGCGCCGGGTATTTAATGTTCGGCTCCGCCCGAACTTAGACTTTCTTACTTGTTAATCATGGTGTGTTAACATACATGTCTATAATAGATGCTTAAAGTAAAGTAGATATACTTTTGTAAAAGGGACGTGGCATATCCTATAGCTGTGAAATTTTTAATCAGCCAAAACTTCGGAATCATACGTCACGTGAATTTGAAATTTGGTATGAAGACATATTCATGGTAGGCGCTTATAGTAAAGTATATATCGTCACCTGAAACGCAAAATAACGTAACAAGATCGTCACTGAAAGGGAAAAAGTCGTGACTATTTTTATTTTATTTTTTTTTCATAAAACGATGTGGGGAGTAGTAATTCGACGAAATCCATCATAGCAATCAAAAAGTGAATTTTGAATTTTTTATAAGTTACCACTTTTTGGCATTTCAGTGACGATGTTGTTGCGTCATTTTGCATTTCAGGTGACGATATGAATACAAGAAGCGTTGCACATCCCAAAGGCGTGAAATTTTTAATCAGCAACAACTTCGTAACCGTAAGTCAAATGACATTGAAATTGGTGGTAAGACAGATCTATGAATGATGCTTAAGTAAAGTATCCATATATATAAATAGCAGGGACGGGAACCGGTTTTGAACCGGAAACCGCTTTTTCTATTAATTAACTAAACCATTAACCGAACCGAAATTTTCCACAAATGTTTGATCCGAACCGAAAACCGAACCACTTTCTTTAAAGGTTCGTTTCAACCAATTTTCAATAGATAACTGTACCCACTGTTTTTTTTTGTTAAACATGCTAATACCTACCATGTTTGTTTATCATGTGACAATATCAAATGTAAAGGCAACCCATCTCATTTGACAGACACTTGACCCTTAACCTTGCGCGTTGTTGCACTTGACACTTAACCCTTTCCAGTCAAATCCGTCCCTGATGAATATAAAAATTGTGCCTCTTAATTACAAGGTTCATAGAGCCTCATAATACCAAAAGTAACAAAATATTCAAAAGTTGTTTTGGCTAGCTATTAGGGCTACCTCAAATTTGTGTAATATATTGAACAAAAGTCCGCAAAGGAGTAAAAGCACTCAAGAAAACTCAATAAATATTTCACTAAGTTTGACGGAATAAAACTTTTATCTCATTGAAAATGAACTTAGATGGGTACAAAATAATTGATTTTACTGCAGATATGTTGGAATGAATATTTTATATCTTTTTAAGTATATTTAGTTAAGATTTTCATTAAAAAATTTTAAATTTTCTCCATGAGATGAGAATTATATAAAGAAATTTTGAAAAATTTCAGATACAATTACAATATAAAATACAAATGACCCGTTTTAATAAACCTTCCCGGTTTTTCTGCCTTCAGTAGATCAAGAAATCAAAAACCTACCCTTTACTGCAACAACAGCACACAAACTCTTCAAAAACCACGGAAAAAATCACCCTAATTGTCTGTTCAACTGCAACCTTTGCGGACGTTTGTACAATATATTGTACAAGATACTTACAACCTTTCAGTGTAAATGTAAAAAATTAAATATGTAAAACATTTTAAATCATGATAGTTTAATTTTAGCATTTTTATATGATGAAATACTTTTCATATTTCTATACTATGTGCCTTTATTAGCGATTTTACTTGACTTTCACTATTTTTTGTACAGTGAATTACCACAACTTGCGTTTCACTGGAATTTTATAAAATGGTCTATTTTTAAATTAAATTCTAAAAATATTTTTGAAATGTTTTCGATTTTCAAATTTACGTAACTATTCCAACACAAACATTCCAAAACTTCATAAAGTCTAATTTGTTTTCACAAATATTAATAAGATTTTTAGTAGCACGCTGCCAATGTTACAAAAAATTAAATGTACAATATATTGTAGGAAAGGGTTTAAGGGATTAAAAAATGTTAATCGTTAATCATTCAGATGATTACGATTAATAAGTTTTAATCGTTGATCGCGATTAACATTTTAATTGTTAATCAGATTAATATTTTACCAACACTGACTGAGCTACATAGTTTTTTATACCCGAGCGCACTTTTGCACAAATTAAAGAAAATCTAAAAATATAATTATTAACAGAAACCAACAACCACATTATCAAGTCTGAATTGCAGCGGAATACCTGCGCTTGATTGTGTTGGCTTAACAAATGAAAAAGTGGGAAAAAAGCAACGATAATTTACAAGGCGAACTTAGCACAGTGCGTAGGCAACTGGCTGAGTCAGTGGGATCGTCAATTCGACTCCTACTGAAAAAAGTCTGATGAGGACCATTTTTTCAAATTATTGTTGCTTTTCCACTCAAAGGTTTTTCATTAAAAACGGCCTCAAGCTCAATAAAAATTGTTGAATCTAATTGTTATAAGGCCATAAAATAACAAAAACAAATAACTTAAGGACGAGCACACCTAAAAGTTAAACATTCTAAAAGTAGAATTATTAACAAAAACCAACAAACACATGATCAAGTGTAAATCGTAGCGGAATAGCTGCGCTTGATTGTGTTGGCTTAGCAAAAATGAAAAAGTGGGAAAAAAGCAACGATAATTTACAAGTCGGACTTAGCACAGTGCGTAGGCAACTGGCTGAGTCAGTGGGATCGTCGGTTCGAATCCTACTGAAAGAAGTCTGATGAGGAAATGTGGTGATTTCCGAAATAGCTATCACTTCTACCATTTTTTCAAATTATTGTTGCTTTTCCACAATAAATTTTCATTTAAAAAATGGCCTCGAGCTCATTATAAAATTGTTGAATATAATTGTTAAAAGGCCAAAAAATAACAAAAAACAAATAACTTAAGGACGAGCACACCTAAAAGTTAAGCATTCTAAAAATAGAATTATTAGCACAAACCAACAAAACCAACAACCACATGATCAAGTGAATTGCAGCGGAATAGCTGCGCTTGATTGTAGTTGGCTTAGCAAAGTGAAATAGTGGAAAATAAGCAACAAGAATTAACAAGTCGAACTTAGCACAGTGCGTAGGCAACTGGCTGAGTCAGTGGGATCGTCAATTCGACTCCTACTGAAAAAAGTCTGATGAGGACCATTTTTTCAAATTATTGTTGCTTTTCCACGAAAAGTTTTCATTTAAAAAATGGCCTCGAGCTCATTATAAAATTGTTGAATATAATTGTTAAAAGGCCAAAAAATAACAAAAAACAAATAACTTAAGGACGAGCACACCTAAAAGTTAAGCATTCTAAAAATAGAATTATTAGCACAAACCAACAAAACCAACAACCACATGATCAAGTGAATTGCAGCGGAATAGCTGCGCTTGATTGTGTTGGCATAACAAAAATGAAAATAGTGGAAATAAGCAAACGATAATTTACAAGGCGTCTTAGCACGGTGCATAGGCAACTGGCTGAGTCAGTGGGATCGTCGGTTCGAATCCTACTGAAAGAAGTCTGATGAGGAAATGTGGTGATTTCCGAAATAGCTATCACTTCTACCATTTTTTCAAATTATTGTTGCTTTTCCATTCATTAAAAACGGCCTCAAGCTCAATAAAAATTGTTGAATCTAATTGTTATAAGGCCATAAAATAACAAAAACAAATAACTTAAGGACGAGCACACCTAAAAAAAAGTTAAACATTCTAAAAATAGAATTATTAACAGAAACCAACAAAACCAACAACCACATGATGAGGTCCGAATTGCAGCGGAAAGCTGCGCTTGATTGTGTTGGCTTAACAAACTTCTACCATTTTTTCAAATTATTGTTGCTTTTCCACAATAAGTTTTTCACTAAAAACGGCCTCAAGCTCAATAAAAATTGTTGAATTTAATTGACAATAGTCAAACTACATATCATAGACCTAAAATTTCTACAGCGCAAGTACAAAGTTTGAGATCGATTTTAAGCGCTCGTTATTCATATGCCTACATATCGTCACCTGAAATGCAAAAAAGACGTAACAACAACGTAGATGAAATGGAAAAGGANCAGCGCAAGTACAAAGTTTGAGATCGATTTTAAGCGCTCGTTATTCATATACCTACATATCGTCACCTGAAATGCAAAAAAGACGTAACAACAACGTAGATGAAATGGAAAAGGACGTGACTAATATTTTAATTTTTTTTTTCATAAAATGATGTGGGGAGTTGTAATTCGATGAAATCCATCATATAAATCAGAGGTTCCCAAACTTGTTTTCTCGTAGACCCCTTTCAAAAATTTACTGGTTTCGGTGGACCCCCTGCNAAATGTGAAAATTAGATCTAACAATGTAAACTTGCATCGCGGGTGAATTCAAAAACTAAACTCAGAGTGGCCAAAATAAAAGTAAAATATTTTCTTGTGTTCCATTTATAAAAATAATGTGATTACACACTTGTAGGTTTTAAAAAATAGGGCTCGTAAATACATCAAAATACTCTCTTGCTCGGAGGAGTTATATTTTTAAGAGCACTGCGGGCGCTAGCTTTATTTACATTATCTTCACCATAAACTCATCAAATGTTCGGCTCACTCATGACTTTGCACGTGGACATGGGCGTAGCCAGGTAGGGGCAGGGGGGTGCTCGAGCCTCCCCCCTAACTTTCAAAAATTCTGGCTACGCCGATGCACGTGGAGTATATGTAAAATAGTTTATTTGTATTAATGGCATCACTTTTATTTTTATCGCTCCGAGTTTTAAAGTGAGGCGAAAAATATTTATCACATTTTTAAAACACAAAACTTAAAACATCAAAACGGCTAAGCTTTTTACGCCAACTTTTAATTCAGAAACTGACAATAGAGAAAAGAACGAGTTTGAAAAAATCGGTGACAAATAACCAAGCAAGCAAGAAGCACAAAAAGTGTTCCACCGTCTCATCTTCTTGAAGGCAATATGGGCAAATGGACTTGTCATTTACTCCTATGACAGTCAGGTGTTTGTGCCACGTGAAGTGACCAGTCAGCAGTCCAGCAGGTTGTATGCAGTGTCGTTTGCTCAGTGAGAGCAAACAATTAGATAGAGCTTGTGAGATTGAAGGCAACATGAGTTTTGCCAACCTGCATCCCCTCGATGCCTCTCAGTCTTTGCTGAGCGAAGTATTCACCCAGTTTCTGATGGTGGCTTCGATTGCCGAAGGTGGGAGTGCTAAAACTGGTTGCGGACCGAGGAGTGCCTGGTCTGAGCCAACTCTGGCCAACTCTGGCCAAATGATCAGATGTCTCATAATCAGGTACTCCTGAGTGACCTGGCACCCATAGTAAAACAACCTCGTTATGTTCACCAGCATATTTTAGTCGAGACTTGCATTGCCGAACTAGTTTGGAAATACTTAAATAGAGGGCTATCCAATACCTTACGTGCAGCTTGGTTGTCACTGCAATCACGTAAACTCCTTCCTCTCCACCTATGTTCCACCACGTAGTCCATGGCTTTGAGTATTCAGCCTGGAAGACCGAAGCATATTCCCCTACAGAAAAGTGAAGTTTATCTCCATTAACTTCGAGAGTCAGTTTTGGAGCCATCAGTGAAGATTGGACAATGTGTGAGTCTG